ACTCCCCCAGGTTGAGATAAGAACAGTTTAATAACTAAGGTATAACACAAATCACTACTGCTACCATGAATAATAGTAATGATAAAGGAAATAGATAATGATAAAGGGAAGAGAATACAACACCTCAGCACCAGCCGATAGATAACTCGCCCCCCCCCCCAGCCGGACCAAGCTCTGACCCATACCTCCTCAAACCCTGCCGTCCTCGCCCTTCTGGGTAACTCTCCGTTACCTCCTGGGCATGACGTGCTGTGTCATGGTCAGTTTAGGTCAGCTGTCCTGTCTCTGGTTCCTCCCAGCTTCCCCTCCTCCCTGGCAGAGCATGAGGCTCACAAAGTCCTTGGCCAAACCAAAACATCATTGTTATCAGCTCTGTTCCCGAGCCGAAAGTCAAAACACTGCACTGCACCAGCTACCAAGGAGGAGGAAATGACTGCTACTGCTGAACCCAGGACAACTGTACACTGCAGCTGGGGAGAATGGTCCTACCTGGAGCCTCTGGCAGAAAGCTCCAGGGGAGACTCGAGGTTGACACCTCGGCTTTTGGAGTCGGGGATACAAAAGATCTGAGGCCAGCTATACCCCAACTGAGAAAGAGATACTGGCAGCCTATGAAGGGGTTTGAGCTGCTTCAGAAGTGATTGGCACTGAAGCACAGCTCCTCCTGGCACCCTGGTTGCCCGTGCTGGGCTGGATGTTCAAAGGCAGGGTCTCCTCTACACATCATGCAACTGATGCTACATGGAGTAAATGGGCTGCACTAATTACACAATGAACTCCAATAGGAAATCTCAGTCCAGGCATTCTAGAAGTCATCATGGACTGGCCAGAGGGCAAAGATTTCAGAATGTCACCACAGGAGGAGGCGGTGCGTGCTGAAGAGGCCCCACCATATAATGAACTGTCAGAAAGTGAAAAGCAGTATGCCTTGTTCACTGATGGGTCCTGCCGTATTGTGGGAAAGCATCGGAGATGGAAGGCAGCTGTATGGAGTCCTGGACGACAAGTTGCAGAAACTGCTGACGGAGAGGGTGAATCGAGTCAGTTTGCCGAGGTGAAAGCCATCCAGCTGGCCCTGGACATTGCTGAACGAGAAAAGTGGCCAGTACTTTATCTCTATACTGACTCATGGATGGTGGCAAATGCCCTGTGGGGGTGGTTGAAGCAATGGAAGCAGAGCAACTGGCAACGCAGAGGTAAACCCATCTGGGCTGCTGCACTGTGGAAAGATATTGCTGCCCGGGTACAGAACCTGGTGGTGAAGGTACGTCATGTAGATGCCCATGTACCCAAGAGTCGGGCCACTGAGGAACACCAGAACAACCAACAAGTGGATAAAGCGGCTAAGATTGAAGTGGCTCAGATGGACTTAGATTGGCAACATAAATGTGAATTATTTTTGTCCCGGTGGGCCCATGACACTTCAGGCCATCAGGGCAGAGATGTAACATATAGATGGGCCCATGATTGAGGGGTGGACTTAACAATGGACACTATTGCCCAGGTTATTCATGAGTGTGAAACATGTGCTGCAATTAAACAAGCCAAGCGGTTAAAGCCTCTTTGCTATGGAGGATGATGGTTGAAATATAAATATGGGGAGGCCTGGCAGATTGACTATATCACACTGCCACCAACCCGCCAAGGCAAGCGCCATGTGCTTACCATGGTGGAAGCAACCACCGGATGGCTGGAAACATACGCTGTGCCCCATGCTACTGCCTGGAACACTATCCTGGGCCTTGAGAAACAGATTTTGTGGCGACACGGCACCCCAGAGAGAATTGAGTCAGACAATGGGACTCATTTCCGAAATAACCTTATAGATACCTGGGCCAAAGAGCATGGCATTGAGTGGGTATATCACATCCCCTACCACGCACCAGCCTCTGGGAAAACTGAACGGTACAATGGGCTGTTAAAAACTACACTGAGAGCAATGGGTGGGGGAACTTTCAAGCATTGGGATACACACTTACCAAAGGCCACCTGGTTGGTCAACACCAGAGGATCTGCCAACAGGGCTGGCCCAGCCCAGTCAGAACTTTTACATATTGTAGAGGGGGACAAAGTTCCCGTGGTGCATATGAAGAATTTGCTGGGGAAGACAGTCTGGGTTATTCCTGCTTCAGGTAAATGCAAACCCACTCGTGGGATTGCTTTTGCTCAGGGACCTGGATATGCTTGATGGGTAATGCAGGAAGATGGGGAAGTCCGATGTATACCTCAAGGGGATTTGATTTTAGGGGAAAACAGCCACTGAACTTAATTGTATGCTGTTGCCTGCTGTGTAGTACTTTTATAGCCCATCGACTAGATGTCTCCAGGTCACCAGCAACTGGCCCTGACTTCCCTCCAATCATCATCCCAACAGAGAATGAACTTTGATAGAACTGGATGAGTTCCGCAGTAAAGGAACGACCAGCATCAGCAGGCAACGATCCAATACTGCACACAGACTTTCCTCCCCTGAAAGATTGTTACAAGAGATGGAACCTGACATTATGGACCGAATGGACTCGGCAGCATTATAGGGATTGGTCCATGCACTAAGAAAATGATCTCTTTCTCTTGGTCTGTGTATATATGGATGTATATATGTGGGAGAGCAATGGTGTATTGAAAATGTGGGATCTAAGCACGACGTGAATGGTATGGAATAAGGGGTGGATACTGTCCTGGGTTTAGCAGTAGCAGTCAATTTTTCTCCTTCGTGGTAGCTGGTGCAGTGCTGTGTTTTGACTTCCAGCCTGGGAACAGTGCTGGTGATACCGATGTTTTTGGTTATTGCTAAGTGATGTTTACCCTGACCAAGGACTTTGTGAGGCTCATGCTCTGCCAGGGAGAAGGGGAAGCTGTGAGGAAGCAGAGACAGGGCGCCTGACCCAGGCTAGCCGAAGAGGTATTCCATACCACAGCGCATCATGCCCAGGGTGGGGGGTAACTGGGAGTTACCTGGAAGGACACGGGCTTCCGGGTGGGACTTGTTTCTTGGCCGGTGGTATCGTATTCTCTTCCCTTGTTATTTTCTCTTATTATTGTTGTTGGTGGTGGTAGCGGTGGTGATTTGTGTTGTACATTGGTTGCTGGACTGTTCTTGTCTCAGCCCATATGAGTTGCACTCTTTCAATCCTCCTCCCCATCCCTCTGGGAGCAGGGAAGGGGAGAGCCCGGGGCGGGGGGCCTCGATTGCTTTCAGCCCGGCACCACTCGCTGGGAGCGAGTGAACAAGCTGTCTGTCTAGGGTTTAAACCACGACAGACTGAAGCTGCAAGAAGACAGATGGCACCCAGTGTGTGTTTTCAGAAAAAAAAAGTATAAAAAGTATTTCAGTATACAGAAATTCACATTAGACGGACACAATTTAAATAGTTATTTTCTGTAAACTACTAGACAACAGAACACGTTCAGTATTTCTCAAGTCTTTAGGAGATGGGTTTAAAAATGCTAAATGGAATATTAGAAGTCAGGTGTCCATCAAGTATGCACAAAGACAGGATGTGGTATGTGTACAGAGATGTTTGGTATCACAGTAAGTGGGGAACAAAACCAGATTTTTCTGTGTTTAGACAGATAACATATATATGCAACAGTTTTGAGGCAAAGAAGTGTTTCTCATCTCTGAGAAACTCATCTCTCTGCTTCAAATTAGGCAAAATGAGGACTTCTATCTCCCAGGTGGTGGATTTTTCTTTTGGGTCTGTCTCAGCAGGAGGACAGAGCTCTTCCTCACTCCCAGATGTGCGTGAAGTGCTCTTGCTGACCAAGGCAACATCTGGATATGCCCGACTACTTGTATCCTCTCTTGGAAAGAAAGCCATGCCTCTGACTGGGGAAAATACAGGGACTGTAGTGATATGACAAAGGGTAATGGGTTAAAACTTAAACAGGGGAAGTTTGGATATAAGGAGGAAGCTCTTCACTGTAAGGGTGGTGAGGATCTGGAATGGGTTGCCCAGGGAAGTTGTGAATGCTCCATCCCTGGCAGTGTTCAAGACCAGGTTGGACAGGTGCTTCGGTGACATGGTTTAGTGGGAGGTGTCCTTGCCCATGGCAGGGAGGTTGGAACTTGATGATCTGAAGGTCCTTTCCAACCCTAACTATTCTATGATTCCATGAAAAAGAGCTCCTGCCTCATGTGGAGATCTCTTTTTTTGGGGGAGTCTGGAACTACAAAGAGTAGTGGACTCTTCTTTAGGTACAGTGTCTGCCTCCCCCATCCTTCCCCTTTTTAAATGAGCATATCACAGAACTCCAACAGCTTAAGAAGTCCAAGATGATTGGCATGGCTGATTAACAGTGCAGGTAGGGTTTGGTCATTTCACACTGGGTTCTTGACTCAGCTCCCAGGCATTGTGTGCTGAACTGAGCTGTAGCTGGAATTTCCAGCTCTGCATGTGACACAGCTCTGCAACACAAATTTCACTGACAAGTGAAATTGACACTTTTAATGTCAAATTTCATTGACATCTGTTGATGTGCAGCAAAGCCACTGAACACGGAAGATGCTGCCTGTGTCTGCTGGCCGCTGCCCACCCTTGGTGAACACTGTTTCTGCCTGGGATTTCTGGATATTTCACAACTTAGACAGCTTCAGTCTGGTGTCCAGCATCACAGTTCAGTGTTTCAGGTTCCCACACCCCACATATGCCACCTTTCTGGGTGGAGAAAGAGTATGAATTTGGAGGAACAGGAGAGGGAGTACTTCTAATCTAAAATGAAAATGATAGCGCCTATTACAATCCGTAGCAGGTTCAGCCTGTCATGGGTAAAATTTCAGTGCTGAAGTTGAAAACATTATGAAAACAGTGTAATAGCTATTCCTCAGTTTGCAGAGAGCAGTATGATCAGTTAAGTATATTTTTTTCATGTAGTCTCTGGTCTATTTAACTCACTCCAAGGCAGAAGGCTTTACATCACAGACGTACTTTCTGTGATGTGTACCATTACAATCATGTAGTGCAGTGACTACCTACATATCGTAAAGAATTTTTAACCCATTAATCCCTTTGTTCATAATTCACTAATTGCTTGATCTGCTCAGTCTGTAGTGACTGCCTCCTTTGGAGTATTTTTATGTTCTTGGTCTCCTAGAAAAAGGAGGTGCTGCTAGAACTAAATGCTTTTCTCCACAAGAAATCATCCCAGAAACACTGTTTATGAAAGTAATATCTGGAACTGGGGGGTGAGGACTCACATTCAGTGGTGGAAGAAAACTGGTCTTATCTGAGCAATGTGACCCAACAGTAAGGCTCCTGATTCCTGCTTTTCTAGAGAAGCTTGGTTTTTCCTTGTCAGAGTAACAGGACGCATGTTCTGCAGTACTTCTCTGGGATTTTGTAACAAAGAGTGAGAGGGAGAAAGGATCTTTTTCTTTCCTATCACTGACTTACTGTCTTCTGCAGTAGAAGGCCTCATACTGAGGCCTTCTGAGAATCAGAGCTGTAGTGATTTAACTGAGTTAACTGAGTTAACTGAGAATCAGAGCTGTAGTGATTTGCTCCCAAGTTTCTTTTCTGGATAACACTGTTAGGGTTTGAAGTAAAGCTGATTTGTCCCAGACTGGCATCCTTACCCACAGGAATCCCACTGGGGTTATATTTCTCTTCCACACAAGGAATCTGAGAGTTTATCTTGTCATACAGTAATTTCCTTGATCCACCATGTTCAAAGGTTTTCAGTAAATGAGAAGTGTCTTTTATGTCAATACTTTGGGGCCTGGTGATGAATCTGTTTGATGGGGCAAGGCCAGTGGTTTTAGAAGAGAGCTCTTCTTGTGGAGTAATATCCTGAAGTGTAAAGAGGTGATTTTATTCTGGTGGAACAGTAACAGAGAGCTCTTTATCCAAGGCTCAGACTGTAGCCGCTGCATTTGTGAGAGTTTGGACCTGGCTTTTGTCAAGCTGGATTTTCTCATCAGTGAAACTATCTGAGATGAGTTATCCACACTTCGTGGATGATCCAGCTCTTTAAAGCTGAAGAATGCCTTTTCAGTTTTATCTGAGCTTGAAAGCAAGGACCGGAAAGTTTTCAGTTCTATTTCTGATGGGGAAATGCAGACAGTTGGGGAATAGCATTCCTCAAGGTGTGCAGGAGGCATGTTTAGGTACTGCTTTGTTTTCTGCCTTCCTGATGTGGACTTGTCCATTGTGATGATGATTTCTTTTCCTTGCTCCCTGCAGGTGTTAAGAAGAACTTTCAGGGTCTCTTTGTCTTCAGAGTTTATTGCATACACAAGTGTAGAGCAGTTGGAGCGATCTTGCAGGCTGGGGTCAGCCCCACTTTTCAGTAGCAGAGACACCAGGGCCTGCTCTTTCCAAACAAGCATGCATCAAGGCTGTTTTCCCAGACTTATCCTGTATGTTTGGATCAGCCTTGTTTTCCAGCAGGTATTTAACCATCCTTGCCTTGCTGACACTCTGGCTATCCACAGGTTTTTTCCTAAAAGCAATCGTGAGCGGGGTTTCTCCTCTGTCGTTGCTCTCATTGATGTAGGCACCACCCTCTAATAGCAGCCTGGTGAGGCGGAGGCGTCTTTGGTAGACAGCTCTTATCAGAGAGTTCCCCTCCAATGTCAAGTCCACCAGTTCAGTCATGGCACTTGTCTCACTCGCAACTCCTAAAGCCTGGAAAGAGCACTGGGAAAACAGAAAGCCCCCAGAAAAAAAAAAGAGAAAATGAAAAGAGAAAAAGAGACAAAAGAGGAAAAAAGACATAAAAAGAAAAAAGATAGGAGAAAAGAGAGAAAAAAAAGGGGGGGGGGGTAAAGAAGGGGGAAAAGAGAGAGGAAAAAGAAGAATAAAAGAGTGAAAACATAAAAAAGGGAAAAAGAAAAAAAGAGAAAACAGAAAACAAAGGGAAAAGTGAAAAATGAGAAAAGAGGGAAAGGGAAAAAATGAAAAAAAAAGACAAGCAAAGAAAAAAGGATTTAACTGCACAAATTGTACCTGTAAACACACCTATACCTGTGAAAAGAGTATGAAGAAAACAAAAAATGCATTCCCACCTCCTGGACTTCAATAAATGCATTGAAAACTTAAATAGAATTTGGATATAACTATAACATTTATAGATGCTTTTCTTTTTTTTTTTGTTATTGTGCTCCTTTTTTGTCACACTCTGCCAAATTAGCTGCAAAAAAAGTTAAATTCTCCACATTCCAATGACTTTATACTGAGCACACCCAAGTGGCTGGGGTACAGCTGTTCCACTGCTGATCCTCACCAGTGCAAGATGCAAGAACTGAATTCATAGAGTCATAGAATCATAGAACAGTTAAGGTTGGAAAGGACCTTAAAATCATCAAGTTCCAACCTCCCCTGCCATAGGCAGGGACACCTCACACTAAACCATGTCACCCAAGGCTCTGTCCAACCTAGTCTTGAACACTGCCAGGGATGGAGCATTCACAGCTTCCCTGAGCAACCCATTCCAGTGCCTCACCATACTCACAGTAAAGAATTTCTTCCTTATATCCAATCTAAACTTCCCCTGTTAAAGTTTGAACCCATTACCCGTTGTTCTATCACTACAGTTTCTAAGGAAGAGTCCATCCCCAGCATCCCTATAGGCCCCCTTCAGATACTGGAAGGCTCCTGTAAGGTCTCCACACAGCCTTCTCTTCTGCAGGCTGAACAGCCCCAACTTTCTCAGCCTGTCTTCATATGGGAAGTGCTCCAGTCCCCTGATCATCCTCGTGGCCCTCCTCTGGACTTGTTCCAACAGTCCCATGTCCTTTTTATGTTGAGGACACCAGAACTGCACACAATACTCCAACTGAGGTGTCACGAGAGCAGAGCAGAGGGGCAGGATCACCTCCTTCGACCTGCTGGTCATGCTCTTTTTGATGCAGCCCAGGATACGGTTGGCTTTCTGGGCTGCAAGCACACACTGCCTGCTCATGCTCATTTTCTCATCAACCAACACCACCAAGTCCTTCTCTGCAGGGCTGCTCTGAATCTCTTCTCTGCCCATCCTGTAGCTGTGCCTGGGATTGCTCTGACCCAGGTGTAGGACCTTGCACTTGGTTAAACTTCATGAGGCTGGCATCAGCCCACCTCACAAGTGTGTCGGGGTCCCTCTGGGTGGCATTCCTTCCCTCCAGGGTATCAACCGATGAGGTATAGTGATTAAAACCCCCTTGAGCACTGTGCAGTCAAAGCTCTCTTTGAAGCTGATTGCCTGAGGGATAGTTTTCAGGAACTTTCTAGAGTGTTTAGTAACATACTGATACAGCAGTGAAAAGTTCTAAAGCTTCTGAAGTGCTCCTTAGCACAAATGCACAGGCTTCAGTGGCCTAATCTATTTTATTTACACTTACCATGAGAAGTGTATTCAAGCTACAGGTTGGCGGAGAAGTGATTCTGAGCAGCCCTGCGGAGAAGGCTGTGGGGGTTTTGACAGATGAGAAACTGAACATGAGCCAGCTTCAGTGTACACTTGCAGCCCAGAACGCCAGCCATATCCTGGGCTGTATCAAAAGGAGTGTGACCAGCAGGTTGAAAGACATGATCCTGCCCCTCTCCTTTGCTCTCATGAGACCTCTCTTGAAGTACTGTGTACAGTTCTGGTGTCCTCAACATAAGAAGGGCAAGGAGCTGTTGGAGCAAGTCCAGAGGATGGCCACGAGGATAATGAGAAGGCTGGAGCACCTGCTGTGTGAAGATAGGCTGAGAAAGTTGGGGCTGTTCAGCCTGGAGAAGAGAAGGCTGCATGGAGACCTCATAGCAGCTTTCCACTATCTGAAGGGGACCTACAAGGGTGCTGGAGAGGGAATCTTCGTTAGGTACTGTAGTGATAGGACACGGGGTGACGGGTTTAAACTTAAACAGAGGGAGTTCAGGTTAGATAGGTGGAAGGAGTTCTTTACTGTGAGGGTGGTGAGGCACTGGAACAGGTTGCCCAAGGAAGTTGTGAATGCTTCATCCCTGGCAGTGTTCAGGGCCAGGTTGGATGGAGTCTTGGGTGACATGGTTTAGTGTGTGGTGTCCCTGCCCATGGCAGGGGGGTTGTAAATAAGATGATCTTAAGGTCCTTTCCAACGCTAACCATTCTATGATTTTATGGTTCAATATTTTTCCCTTTTCTGTTTATAATTACTGCAAGAATGGGAATGGGATTTAGTAACCCAGTTCTACTCATGATTTCAAGTGAGCATCCTCCAGGCATGTGTTCCGGGCCTGCTCCTCCATGGAGTGTATCCTCAGACAGCTCATGTAAAATTATTCCGGGTTTTAAAGATGCTCACCTAGATCTATCTGAAGCGAGTGACGTTACTTCTGCCGCTTGCTCATCACTGTCCATCACTAGGAGTGACTAGCCCCACTGCTGTATGAGAGGAAAGGATCACCTGAATTTCTCCTTTTCAGGCAAATCCACTTTGTTCAGGTGAAATAACTTTTCACGGGATATTTAAAACAACCCATCTGGCTCTGCTGGAAATGAGTTAGGCATAATCCCTCCAGCCAACTGAGAGATGGAGTCAGCATCTCCATCCAGCAAAGGACTGGCAATTCATTAACTGGTACAGCTATCTGAAACCAGCTTGAGTGTTTCCCAGCAGGAGTTTGTGTGGAAAACTGTGAGTTCATTGGAAAGATACACATTAAAAACATGTTACATCTAAGAAAGCAAACTTGTGCAAGTGTCCATTTCAATTAAATCGATGACGTAATTTATAGCCAAAGTGACTTCTGTATAATGGCTTGTTTATTGAAAATAATTCTGTTTGGTATTAGAAGCTCATTAAACTGAACTGCTAAAGGAAGAGACATTGATTCAGGCTTCCATGAGTAATGTTGCACCATCCATTTCCTCTCAAGTTCTGGATTTGCTTTTTTTTCTCTGTTTTTTGTTTGCTTGTTTCATAGCAGACATTTGGCAAAATACTTAAGCTTATACCTAAAGCCTTCCTTAATCAGTCAAATATATGGCCCAATTTCAGGAAAAATACTTACTATGACTTAATCAGACATGAGCACATACTGAAGAGCTCGCTATTTAAAATACCTGCTCTTCTTGATCAGAACAATTTTCTGAATTTCTGTACGTTTTCAATCCAGCAGGACAGCTAAAAAGACAAGGGACAGAACTGAGAGCACCACAGCTTGAGGACTATAAGGTGATACACAAGTGCTGTAACCCCAGTCCAGGGGCAGGACCTTGTAGTACGCCTTGTTGAACTCCATGAGGTTCACAGTCCCACCTCTCACGTGTGTCAAGGTCCCTTTGAATGGCATCCCTTCCTCCCAGGCCATCAACTGAACGAAACAGTGTTGTTGGCAAATTTGCTTAGGGTGCATCAATCCTACTGTCCATGTCACTGACAAAGATGTGGAACAGGATCGGTCCTAACACCGACCCCTGAGGGACACCATGTGTTATCCATCTTCAGTTGGACATTGAGCCACAACTCTCAGTGCAGCCGTCCAGCCAGTTTGTTATCCACCAAGTGGTTCATCTGTCAAATCCATCCATGTCTCTCCAATTTAGAGACAAGGATGTTAGGTGAACCAAAGCCAAATGACTTGCACAGTTCCAGGTAGATGATGTCAGTTGCCCTTCCCTTATGCATCAACGCTGTGGCCTTATCGTAGAAGGCCACCAAATCTGTCAGGCAAATTAGTGAAGCTGTGTTGTCTGTGACCAGTCACTCCCTTATTGTCCATGTGCCTTAGCATAGTTTACAGGAGGATCTGCTCTGTGATATTGCAGGGCGCAGAGGTGAAGCTGACTGGGCTGTAGTTCCCCGGATCTTCCTTGTTTCGCTTTTTAAAAATGGAGGTGATGTTTTCCCTTTTCCATGTTTCCATGTTTCCCATATGCAGTCCCAGAAGCATATGCTGTCCACCATGGGATGCAGGAGGTCATCAGCCCAGGCATAATGCTAACCCTTGGACTCCTAGATCCTCTGGGATGGGACCCTTGCCTTCAGATGTAGCGCAGGTACTTCAGGATAGCAAGTGTAGCTGAGGATTTCCTGTAGCTGATAAAGGCAGACACACAGACACCCAAATCCTGAAAATCTTTCACTAAAGAACTTCTTTGCCATGGCATTTTGCAAGTGCTACACCCTGCAGCAGTCTGAAAGTGTTTCCTTTGTTATAGTTACAGGGCAAACTAACACAGGAAACTGTGTGATCCTTCTAGGAAACATTAGTTTCCTCTTCTCACCTCTCTTCCCCACTTTCACTCTTCTGTTCTGGGAGCTCGCTTTTCAGAAGGTATTAGATCTTTTGGTCAGTCTGCTCTGACTTGGTAGGCTTCATTCCTACAGCCCTCCTGGGCAAGCAGGGACACTGGAAGCACAACTGAATAATGAGGGGAGTTACCTCCTAGTTTCATACTTAACTGAGCATTTGTCACCTCTAGTCACCTCATTTTCTGCACTGACTGACAAACAACCGTTCCCACAGCTTCTTCCCTCTCTGAACCAGCTGCTGCCTGCCTGCTCATGTCTTCCTCTTCTGTTAGAGTAGCGTTTAAATTACTCAGAATTATTTTGGGCTTAAAGTCCCCAAAAAGGCTTAAAGGTTTAAGCCTTTGGCAAACAAGCTGTGGTCTGATGAAGACAACATAGTTGTCTGGTCCCAGTGAAGATGTAATGTCAAGTGGTCCTGATGCTCTCCTCAGATAACGCGGGTAAGCTAATCACTGTCATTTACCCCTTCCTGTTTCTCCCCTGGTGTTCTGCATCTGTACTAGTAATACTGTTTTCTAAATTGGGAAACTGGTATTACTTAGTGTATCTTTCTTTTCCATGGATTGCTGTTCATGACAGAAATTTGTTGGAATATTCACAGTTCTGTCCCTGAATACACTGTGGCCATAATGCTTCCGGTGAGCTACTGAAAACATAAGCTTTCTACAGTCAATGGAAATTGCAGATGAGAGAGGCAGATGAGATAATGAGCAATAGACAAGAAACGGATACATTAACCGTTTGTTTTTCACCTGTTATGCAGGCCCTCTGGTTTTAGCTATCTCGTTGAAGTCAGTATTACCCTTAAAAATTAAATTTTTAATCTGTGTAGAACACGTTGTTCCCAGGACAGCATGAATGAGGGTGATTAAATTATAGCTGTACTATACTTTCCTTAGTGATTGGTAACTCTGTTGTCATTCATGATGCTGTTCTTTGCACTTAGCTGCATGGAACTGGGGAAAAACATGACATTTCCCGTGTACTAGACATAATGAGAATTTATGGCTTTTCATGGAATCGGGCAGCAATGAAGTATGTGAGTAAACAAAACATGGGGGACTTGGTTTTGGAACAAAGGATTTTTTTCTTCAAGACATACTATAGAATACCTACCTTTCCCTTTGGAAATGTAAGTGGGGAGCTAATAAGTGCAATGCCCAGTTCAGGTGAAGAGCAAATACTAATTTTTTATCATAGAATCATAGAACGATAGAATCAAAGAATGGTTGGGGTTGGAAGAAACCTTAAAGCTCATCCAGTTCCAACCCCCTGCCACGGGTGGGCACACCTTCCACTATACCAGGTTGTTCCAAGCCCCATCCAGCCTGGCCTTGAACACTGCCAGGAATGGGGCAGCCCCAGCTTCTCTGGGCAACCTGTGCCAGGGCCTCACCACTCTCACAGGGCAGAACTTCTGCCTAAGATCTCATCTCAATCTCTCCTCTGTCAGGCTAAAGCCATCACCACACTTCTTTTGTACCCAGCTGCAGAGCAATCAAGTACATTATCCTAATTCTTGATTGGAATCTGTATGGAATACAGACAAGCCCTGATGTGAAAGGTGCCATCAAAATGCTTTTATCAAAACAAAAAAATCCCAAAAGTACACCTTTTTGGCAGAGTGGCCAAATGAAGAAACCGTGCCATTAATATGCTCTGTAAAGTTTTAAGAAGGAAATTGCTGTGTTACTTCCGAAGTTCCCCTTTTAATGAATCATAAATTGACTAAATTTGTTGTAGAATTTGACATAGCTAAATCTGTAAAGAACTAAGTCAGTCCACAAAGAGTCAGAGGAACTATTCATGTTCCCAGTATGCTTATGTGCATCCAAGTTAAAGTTCTTTGTGACCAAATTGTTTCTAACAAAACATTCAGGCAGCAGTGAACTGCATCTCCTGCAATAAACATTCAGGTAGAATCTTCCTAACTTGTGTTTGCGTCAATACCATCAATGTCCATGAAGCCTTTGCTTCCACTTCTCATAAATACCAGTCTCCATAAAGACAGGACTCTGCAGACTCACTGTGCAGAGCTTTCCACGGTGACCTCTCTTTTGAGACTAACTGCTATGCATTAAATGCTTTGCAAAACGATTTTCTCTTGTCACAATCACAGTAACTTATATTTTCTTTTAAAAATAGCATCCCCTGGTAAGCCTTTATCGTTCTTTGTAACAGTATGTTGGCAAATTAAAACTTGTGAAGCTTTTTGCTGTATTACAGAAGCCTTTAACTTTGTTGTTTTTATCTACTGATGTAATGTCAGCAGACATGGAGCAAGATCAGGAAAGCATTTAACATTTTCCAGAATGCAAAAGAAACACAAAACCCCCTGAAACAGCCCGGGACAGGTGCTGCAAAAACTTTTCATCAATTTTTCCTCTTTTTTCATAAATTTAATGCTTTAAATTGCCACAGAGATTTCCAGAGGTGTTCGCAGCTGGTATTCTGAATGTTTTTCTCTCATCAGAGATTGGTTTTTAAAAAACAAACAACATGAAGGTTTAATATTCTTAGAAAACCAGGTGCTGTTATGCTCTTCTCTATGGTTATAAAATGTTTTTAAACTGCTTTTAAAATGCTTTGGGGAAGGAGTTGGCAGAGTTTTGAGGGTTAATTTCCCCTCCCCCCCGGTTGTTTTTTTTTCCACAACTATTCTCAGACTGATCTGCAGCCCAGGGAAGCATGATGGGCATTGTGTGTCCCAGCTCCTCTCTGTGGCACTTCACATGCGGAGTTCTCTGCTGCCTGGCAAAGTCCCCATGGTTGGAGCACAGGAGCACAGCAACAGGCCAACACAACCGATCATGTTGTGGTAATATTGGCAACAACAACCTTTGGCATTTGGCATTGTGTGCCACCAGAATCACAGTGTAACTACAGTTCCAGTATACTGCTCACTGCTTTCAGGGAACAGTAATGCAAAACATTATTACAGTAGCTACACTTCATGACAGAGGAAACAGGACTTCACTATCTGTTTATAATGCGCATTTGCATGCCACACTTGAGTATTCAAAATCATGCTGACAAGAAGTGATGTTGAACCTGGGAAGAAGGGACAGGTTGGGGGAAGATGTGTTGGATTTTGGTCTTATTTCTCACTACCCACTCTGATTTGATTGGTAGTAAGTTAAACTGATTTCCCTAAGTGGAGTCTTGTTTTGCCAATGACAGTAACTGGTGAATGATCTCTCCCCGTTCTTACCTTGATCCTCAAGCACCTTGTGGTATTTTCAGCTGAGCGGGGAGTGGTGGAGTAGCTTCGGTGGGCGCCTGACCTCCAGCCAGGGTCAATCCACCACACAGATCAGTTTGTAATTCAGTGTTTTCAGCAAAGGCTGTGTACCCAGGATGGTAAAAATGACTGGAGAGGTTTTCTGTGAAGAATCAATGGATACCTCAACTGCTGCCTGAGACTTCCACACTCCCATTTCTTCTTACAATTGCTTACTTTTTCCTCTATGCCAGTATGTTTTAAAGATTGTTGTAAGTGTACATACCACCCCAGTCAAACTCAGGAGTTATGACACTTTTGCACTATCAGATGTTTTGAATCAGGAAATATTCAAAAGCTTTGCTCAGGTAGAGACATTCTGATGCAGCCTAGTGCCTTCACTACTCATGGAATTGTTAGGGATGCTGCCACAGATTGTAAAGACGAATGCAATGTCTCAGGTAGCCTTAGTTGCGGTGCTCCTTAGAGCTCCCTCTTTCACACTGCTTACTGCCCTTGTAATTGCAGAGATACGAATTAATGGGTGGATTGTTTGGTGGATGAGGAATTGGATGAATGGTCACATCCAGAGGGTAGTGGTCAATGGCTCAGTGTCTGGACGGACACCAGTGACAGCTGGCATCCCTCAGGTGTTGGTACTGGGACCAACCCTGTTTAATACCTTCATCGACGATACAGACAACGGGATCGAGTATGTCATCAGCACGTTTGCAGGTGACATGAAGCTGAATGGTACAGTTGACATGCCCAGGGGACAGGATGGGATCCACAGGGAAATGCACATGCTGGAGATGTGGGGTCATGTAAACCTCCTGAGGTTCAATGCGGCCAAGTGCAGCGTCCCACACTCCAGTTGTGGCAACCCCCAGTATCAATATAGGCTGGGGATGGAGGAATTGAGTACCCCTGAGGAGGACTTAAGGGTACTGGCGGAGGGGAGATTCAGTCTGAATGTGAGGGAGAAACATATTCAAGGCATTCACAGCCAGGCTGGATGTAATTCTGGGCAACCTGATCCAGATTAAGATGTCTCTGCTCATTGCAGAGGAGTTGGACTTAGATGGCCTTTGAAGGTCACTTCCTACTCAAACTATTCTATGATTCTACAATTCTGTATTTCTACTGCAGAGTATATATTCAGAGTTGGGGTATGCTAACTGGAATCATTCACTACTGAGGTGTTGTACTATCAAGTAGGATTTTCTTTCAATGACGTACTATGTATTTGCACTCAAAAAGACATCATAATTTAAAATGCCTGCTCTTAAACAGCAGTACAGGAAACCTCATTTATTGTGCCAGGACAGCTTTTTCATACACTTCAAATTTGTACTGAATGCCATTCTCTTCTTGGATATCAGCAGGGACACCTGGGTACCTGGAGAGAGGGGGAGAAGAGAAAGCAAAAGCCAACAAGTAGATAAAAATATCAATATGAGTCATCTGTAATTTATTCTATCAATTAGAAAAGAGAATTGTTTGACTTTACATCAGGTATACTAAGCACAAACTATTAAGAATCATGCTGATTCTTACTGGTACACTTGTACACACATCTTTTTAAATCAAGACTTTTTAAATCAAAAAAGCATACTCTGAAGCAAAAACACACCTTTACGGCTTCATCAAAACCCCCCAATATTTTCATTAAAGCCTAGAACACGTTATTTAAAAAGTCTGGTTCCTGAGGCAGGCGTTTTCGTTTCTGCCACCTCCCTGCTGCCTGTTGGATGTAATCTCATTGGAGAGGACATAACAGGATGACTGGAATATGACAACACAAAAACCACCACAGCAAATGGCAGAAGCTTACAGTTTAATACTTGTTCCTGCTAAGTTTGTCAGGAAGAAATAAATTACTCAAGAGAAAGAAGTAACTTTTGACACTGGATGGAAATCTTACTCTGAATACAAGCCTGGAATGCACCTTGGTACTTACTCCATCAGAAGTTTGTAGTCTTTGTAGTTGATTTCTGGAAAAAATGTGTCACTTTCAAATTCCTGCAAAATTCTTGTCACAAACAGTCGGTGATTAATTGGCTTCTCCATTGCTGCCTTTAAAAACAACAGAAACAATTAAAATTGTGTTGTTCCCTGTAAAACAGTTCAACCATGCATGAAGTAGTGGGCTTTTCCAGGAAGTTTTAGTATCCTTGTTTTACAATGCTATTTGTCTGTAAGATACTATCAAGTGTTAACTTCTTACTTGGAACACTAGCCTTCTTTGCCAACTCTCCAAATTCTTGTTCTGCCTTCAACTGTCACCATGACAGCTTTCAAAAACTTAAGAGGGAAGAGTCTCTTTGTAGATTGTACATCAAATATGTTATTTAAACCTAAAACTCAGTTACTGTTTTCAGGATTTAAGCAAAGCAGTGAAAACTGAACTGTAAATCTCCTTTGGACTTTGCCCAAGAGCACTTTCAAAGGGATAACTTCACTTTGTGGCAGTTCCACATGGTAAGTGACAGCAAGACCTGTTCTTAGAGCTTAGGCTCTAAATTAAGATGGAAATTAAGAGAAGAAGATGGGTAGTCCTGTGAAAAGACAGCAGCCATATGGCCTAGTCTCAATGAGCAACCTGAAGACAATGTTTAGGACAAAAAATGAAGTTGGGCTGAGCAAGCGGGGCTTTTTCAGCCTGGAGAAGAGAAGGGAGATCTTGGAGCAGCTACCAGTTCCTAAAGGGCCCAAACAGTAAGCTGGAGAGGGCTTTTGACAAGGGCCTGTAAAGACAGGACAAGTGAGAATGACTTTAAACTGACCAGGGGGAGATTGAGATGAGATTTTAGGCAGAAGTTCTTCTGTGTGAGGGTGGTGAGGCACTGGCACAGGCTGCCCAGAGAAGCTGTGGCTCCCCCATCCCTGGCAGTGTTCAAGGCGAGGCTGGATGGGGTTTGGAGCAACCTGGTCGAGTGGAAGGTGTCCCCACCTGTGACAGGGGGTGGAACTGGATGAGCTTTAAGGTCCCTTCCAACCCAAACATTCTAGGATTCTATGATACGATTTATATTTGGTTGCTCTACTCTGCTAAGTGTAATCTTCACTTGTATTGGGATTTAAGTATGTAGCTGAGTCACATCATGGGCTGACATGCCAGCCTGGGCTTGACTGTTCCCATGGCCCTGCCCAGTCATCCCAGGGCTATGTCTGACTCTGGTTTCCTTAGTGGGGCCTGCTCCCATTCTGTGGACCTGCCTCATTACCATAAGACCTGGCTGGTGAGGCCCCGTCACATCACTCAGATTATGTTGCCCATGGGTTCTATCTCCTGCCCCTTCGGGAGCACCTGTTCCCATGTGTTCCCTGATGACAGCTTCAGAAAAGTAAATTTTATACCAAACATGAAACCTTTCATGTGTGGAGTCCCTAAAGGAACGTGTTCAGAGAGCACTGGACTCTGATGCGGTCTCTGCAAACTTCTGCTCTGGACCTGGCAATATGGGGAAGGTACGTGATCACAACTTCGGCACCTTCATGAAGATTAAAGTAGTTCCTCATTAACACTCAATTCACTCTTGCCCTTTTCAGCCCCCTCTATCAGTTTCACCACTTCTTTGGTACAGAAAACAAGTTAGAGGACACACTGTGCTGATTTGATAGAACACTGGCACACCTACTCTGAATTTAATCAAGGAAATAGACATCATGCGTACTTACTCTAATGAACAGAATAGGGTGAATGACTCTGTTTTAATGTAACATATACATAATATGAAGGTATAGATGTATATAATCTTGAATATTTAAATAGAATGTGAAGTAACTAGATACATTTATGGCGGTCAGACAATACTGTGAGAAGTTAGCAAAATATTCAACAGACAAACCATTTCCAGTAAGTAGAAGACCAGTATGGCCTTTTTTGGCTTTGTTTATTTGTAAATGTGAGGATAATTTACGTGATGGAAAAGACACAGTGATACAGAACTTGTTGGAAATAATGGTACCAAGGCAAAAGGAGGAGACATTTAGAAGAAAATTAAGACGTCTCTGAGCTCACGCTTCTGTACATTGGAAAAATCTGCATCCTCACTCCATAGTCATTACATTCCACTCACTCCATTGCCATGCTGAGTCTCAAAGTTACTCTTGGCATGATTTTAATTTATTGTTATTTATTAATTTATTGTTATTTTAAATTTATTGTTATTTATTAATTTTGCTGCAGTTATTCTTGGACTGTATTTGTACCTGCACTGGTTTCCCCTGGGAGCTGTGTATGTTTTTGCTCTGCATACATATTTGATTCTTTGTGTAGCAGCCGCTGAACCTTTAAAAATATTAAAGCCTGATGCAAAAGGGAAAAGCAATGCTGAGTTGTTGTTTTTTTTTTTGTTTTCTCACTAAAGTATGGCCTATTTACACTGTGCCTGGAGTCTCAGGACCAGAAATGACTTTCCACAAGAGACGGACTCTCTCTTGTTGTGCCAGGTACATCAACCCTGTATGTCAGCCAGTGTCCTTTATTACTCACATAAATCTCCATACCCTGTGAAAAGATTTTAGCATACCCTCGTCTTTCTGCTCACTTCCAGTATGCTCTTGTCAGGCCTACCTCTGAAGTATAAAGTGAAAAAGAGATGACCTAAGGATCACCTTCCCCATAATTTCCATCTGCATTGGACCGACAACCATACAAGGTTAATTATGTTTGCATGTGCAAGACTATTGCCTTGAATCAGTTTCTGTTTGTGGGTTAAAACAGCCCTGAAGCTCTGCAAGAACAGCCCTGTATTACAAGTAGTTCTAGCATTATTATATGGAATATTAATCTTTTACAGATACACAGTCACCAAACCACTGTTAAACTAGTGGGGATAGCAACCAATTGCTGTCAAAGGGACATATTATTTCTAGTCATTTAAAGATTCACAGGTTTTTAGGACATATACACCCTGATTCTGCTTTCTCATCTTGTAGTGATTACACAGAATAAGTGAAAGAGCCAAAGTAATTGTGTGAGGCACTTCTTTTTCAAGTGTCTTTCTAGACAACAACATTGCCAATCCAAACAAAACATGGCAGGGGGGTTGGAACTAGATGATCTTAAGGTCCTTTCCAACCCTAACTATTCTATGGTTCTATGAAAAAACACTAAAAAAATTTCAAAATAAATTATCTGTTGATTTGCATTCTGGTTTTCAGCCTTTCTAATGTATTGAATAATACAGGCAAGCTCCATTTGAAGACACAAGAGTATAAAAGAAAAATATTTTATACATTAAAGAAAAATCTCACAGGTGAAGTTCTCACAAGTTCTACATCTTGCCTAGGTAAAAGGACTTGCTAAGTTAAACTTGGGCTATTGGGAGAGTTGTGTTGATCACCAGGAGAATCATCACCTTCAAAAATCCTTCCTTCCCACACTGCTAGGGCTCAGCTTAATGATGTGTGGAGCAGCCTGTCTTTCCCAGTCCATGAAGGCTGAGCCTAGTGAGGGAGGAGACACCGTGGTAGCTTCCACTGCCAGCTCTCTGACAGGGATAAGGGCAACAAAATGATTCTATGCCTGTTATTGAAAAGCCTCATCATTTTGTCCTTACAGAAACAGATACACTTTAGTCACCAGGGTTTTCCATGTGTTAGTCTTAAAGGAGGGCCTTTTAAATATTTTCCTTTATCATCTCTGCAAGCAACTTTGATAAAGAACTTGACAAAACCACCTTTCATAGCTGGTCATGCTCATTTTGATTTGTGTCTGCAAGTGACTCATATATTAACCTTTTTTAGTCATTATTTTTTCCCAGAGGGATATAAAATCAGTATGTTTTTCCACAAGAATGAACACAAAAGCAGTATTACACCTTCCTTTCTACATTAAAAGTCCTCTGAGTTTATTTTGAAGATTCTACTACAAAGGCTTGATATGTCCCTCTCAAGCCTAGGAAGGTATAAAGATGCTAAATTAAAGAAGATTCTTAAACTTTAGAAAGAAATTATTAGTTAATCCACTAGCCCGTTGTATTTCTGTTTCCTCAGATTTTATTTACAACTATGTAAGAACAAGATGTAATGAACACTGAAGGCATAACTAGAGTAGTCACAGATGTATTTTTACAAAACATAAATGTCTTTGGGAAAACAATGCTGTCTCACTGCTGTGATCCTGCCACTTTTTTCTGTGAAAGAGATATTAGGGGATTGCACTAGAAGAATGCTCAAAGAAGTGTTGTCATAGGAGGTCATCGAAGTACAGGAAAACAGGAAAATGTGTTCCTATTCCTGTGTTTCTGATCAGGCAACTACACAAGGCTACACAACTACATGTGAGAAAATAGAGGATGGTTGCTTTGAGCAACCTGGTCTAGTGGAAGTGTTGCTGCCCATGGCAGGGGGTTAGAACTGGGTGAGATTTAAGGTCCTTTCCAACCCAAACCAGTTTGGGATTCTATGAGTCTACGAAAATTCTGTGGCATTACAGTAATGAAGTAAGAGTTACCTTTGCACTTACAACATGGATGTTCCTCAGAAAAAACTGCTCAGGACCATAAATATGCATAATCAAACAACATTATCATGAGCTTGGTGGGACAGGGAAAGAATTTCAGGTCAATGCAACCATGACAACCTTCAGTCTCCCCTTTACACAAGATAATGTTACCAAGCTTTCAAAAAATGTTAATAGAATTACGCCACACTAATTAGTTCACCTAAAACAGAACTAGTGGAGAAGCTACTGCAGTGTTCAGTTTTCTGCATGGGTTGCTCCCAGAGCAGAACACTGCTTTAAACACACAGAGAGGAGACTGAGATGAGATCTCAAGAAGTTCTTCCCTGTGGAGGTGGTGAGGCCTTGGCACAGGTTGCCCAGAGAAGCTGTGGCTGCCCCATCCCTGGCAGTGCTCAAGGCCAGGCTGAATGGGGTTTGGAGCAACCTGGTTTAGTGGAAGGTGTCCCTGGCCATGGCAGGGGGCTGGAACTGGATGACATTTAAGGTCCCTTCCAGCCTAAACCATTCTGTCATTCTGTGAAAGGCATCGCGTGCTCAATCAACACAGCTCTAAGGAGCCTGCTCTTTGCAGCAAGTTCTTTGAGAACTCGGTTCACAGGGAGCAACAGCACTGTCACCCACAGGGGTGGAGCACGTCAGCAAGGAAAAAGGAGTTGTCTGCATCTCCTGCGTAAGTGGATCTCAGCCCTCAGTCACATCTCAGACTGAATGCAACACTTCAAAAAACATGGCGCCATACGCATTAGCCTCTATGCCTGTAGGTACATAGCTCAAACCCACTTTGCCTTATATTCAGGTAAGGTAGAAAAATTACTACTATATGTTTAATAGTTTACAGCAAATCCAGACATACTAACACCTAATCTTTAAAATACGTACTTTAGGATATCAGCTAGTGAAGTTTGGCAAGCTTGTTAATGCTTCTCTCTTTTAAACAAGTGATCCTTATGGTACAGTAGAGACTTGAAGCTTAGTAAATTCACAACTCATTCAGGCCATTCACAACCCTGTGAAGCCTATATGCTTAGTCAAGAAATTCTATTTAAGAGGGTAATTAATAATCTGCGAGAGACTTGCTGCACTAAATATGAATAGCAACTTCACAATTAACATTTCTGGAGAATGAAAGGGCTCGATTACTAAACACAGTATGCCAGATGCTAGTGCATAGGAAGACACCCAAGCATGAATATTAGATAAAATCTTCCCTTGGAGATTCTTAGAAATTTAATTTTCCAGCTCAAACCTCTTTGTTGAAGTATTTCCCCAAATGCTTTTTATGACCAGTATCTATATTCTGTTACGGCCAGCCGGGACATTAAATAAACAGCAAAACCAACAAAACTTCTCATGGAAAAACTTTTTGCTCTGTTACAAAATGGCAAGTTTCTTCTCCAAATTTAATCATCATAGAATCATGGAATGGTTAGGGTTGGAAAGGACCTTAAAATCATCTAGTTCCAAACCCTGTCATAGGCAGGGACTCCTCTCCCTAGACCATGTTGCCCAAGGCTCTGTCCAACCTGGTCTTGAACACTGCCAGGGGTGGAGCATTCACCACTTCTTTGGACAACTTGTTCCAGTGCCTCACCACCCTCACAGTAAAGAACTTCTTCCTCCTATTTAACTTGAACTTCCCCTGTTTAAGTTTAAACCGTTTGTCTTACCACTACAGTTCCTGATGAAAAGTCCCTCTCCAGCATCCTTATAGGCCCCTTTCAGATACTGGAAGGCTGCTATGAGGTCTCCATGCAGCTTCTCTTCTGCAGGCAGAACAGCCCCAACTTTCTCAGCCTGTCTTCATATGGGAGGCGATCCAGCCCACTTATCGTCCTCGTGGCCCTCCTCTGGACTTGTTCCAACAGTTCCATGTCCTTCTTATATTGAGGACACTAGAAGTGTACACAATACTTCAAGAGAGGTCTCATGAGAGCTGAGTAGAGGGGCAGGATCACCTCCTTCAACCTGCTGGTCATGCTCCTTTTGACGCAGCCCAGGATATGGTTGGCTTTCTGGGCTGCGAGCGTGCACTGAAGCCAGCTCATGTTCAATTTCTCATCTAGCGACACCCTCAAGTCCATCTCCGCAGGGCTGCTCTGAATCATTTCTCCACCCAACCTGTAGCTGTGCCTGGGATTGCTCCTACTCATGTGTAGGACCTTGCACTTCACTTTGTTGAACAGCATGAGGCTGGCATCAGCCCACCTCACAAGCGTGTCAAGGTCCCTCTAGATGGCATTCCTTCCCTCCAGCCTATCAACCGAGCCACACAGCTTGGTGTCATCGGCAAACTTGCTGAGGGCGCACTCAATCCCGCTGTCCATGTCACCAAAAAAGATGTTGAACAGGATCAGTCCCAACACCAACCCCTGAGTGACACCAATAGTTACTGGTCTCCAGTTGGATACTGAGCCATTGACCACAACTCTTTGCTTGTGGCCATCCAGCCAGTTCTTTATCCACCGAGTGGTCTATCTGTCAAATTGATGTCTCTCCAATTTAGAGACAAGGATGTCGTGTGGGACAGTGTCAAACACTTTGCACAAGTCCAGGTAGATGACGCCAACTGCTCTGCCCCTGTCCATCAGTTCCATAGCCCCATTATAGAAGGCCACCAAATTGGTCAGGTAGGATTTCCCCTTAGTGAAGCCATGATGGCTGTCACCACCTACCTCGTTTTTCATGTACTTTCACATAGTTTCCAGGAGAATCTGCTCCAATATTTTATCAGGCACAGAGGTGAAGCTGACTGGTCTGTAGTTCCCTGGGTCTTCCATTTTCCCCTTCTTGAAAATGGGGGTTATATTACTCTTTGTTCAGTTGTTGGGAACTTCACCTGACTGCCATGATTTTTTCACATAAGTAAATCTAGACCTATTTCTTTCTTTCTTTTCTTTTTTTTTTTTTTTAATGTATCTGTTTAATATTTGAGGATGTGCTGGACAGTTCCTACTCCTAGTAAAAAATGAATTTTTTTTTAATCAGTTCAAACGACAGTTTAAATCCAGTTAAAATAAACTGATAACTTACACTGACCAGACTCCATCAGGATCTCCAGTAAGCACTATTTCTCAAAGTCAAAGCCAAGTCCTGAATCTCTCAATTAAGAGACGATACCTCCACACAGAGTGCATCGCCATGAGTATCTTAACTTGAAATAGAAATGTGGTTTTGAAATTAATCTTCCAATTGTCCCCACTCACCGTTCTTTTGTTGTTCTGCGAGCAATCTTGTTGTGCATGGGCTACATTGCCTGGAAATGAAGCCAAACCAGCAAAGTGCCTCCAGGAACATGCCTGATAAGCTCGAACACTGAATGGGGACTCACATGCCAGAACCAATGAGGAAGACACCACCACGAGTTTTTCACCACACAATGAGCACTCATGAGCCAGCAGATGACTCTCAAAGTGTCAAGTGCTCATGCAAAATCATGGAGTGCCTCCCATGGTGCGTAACAGCTTCGTTATTGCTGTGACGTACTGGCCATTGCTGGGCTGCTTCACTCCTCCTTCCTCCTCCACACAACCAATAGCAACTCAGGAGATCCAGAATAATACAGAAAATCCCGTACCAGCATCACACTGAGATGCAAGGAAATGAAACCTGCAAACCTGTGCTGTGAGAAGTCCAAATGTTTCCCTGGAGGGAACAGTGCAACCTTCTGGTATGTCAGGAGATTATAAACCTGATCAGGTGATCAGTGTCAAGTCAAATTTAAAGAGATGAGGCTTTTGAATGGTCAAGGGACTGCAGAAGCTGTTTTCAATTTTTTCAGCTCTCACTTCCTAATACCAGTACTCTACTCACCCCTCCCTGTACCCACCAAAATGCCTGCTATGTCTACTTCTTCTGCCTTTTCCTGTTGCATAGGTCAAGGCCCACAAGAGACAGTCTCCCAGAGTAAGCTGCTGAACACAGGATGAACATGACAGACATAAGCACTTGTATGGCCACCTTGTTCCAAGTTCACCTTTCTCTGTTCTTCACAGTATTTGAGACAGCTTATGTCAGTACTCCCACCACCCCAGAGAGCACTGTCCTTCACAACCTAGGCGCAGTGGGCAAAAATGGCTGTAAGCAATGAACAGCTGCAGTGTGTCCTTTTAAACGTTGACAGTCCATCAAGGCTTGTTCCCTTCTCCTTTGCAGTCCCACAAAGAAGAGGTTGTAAGCAGCAGCAGTCTGTTGCCTCCACCCCATTCCTTGACCCTGTTGCTGAGGACAGCATCCTGTCTTGAAATGCCATCCTGCAACCCATGCTTTAGCACCTTTACTTGTCTCAGTTCTTAGAGGCTTCTGCACTTGGGCAGCTGGGTAGATGCTCCAACTTGGCACAACTCTCTGGATGAGGTTAAACCAGGCCTGTGTTCCAGCATGGTATCTGGGCAGAACAGCATGAGGCACAGAAGAGATGCAGTATTTCAGGTAAGGCAGGTGTTCAAACATCTCCAATGACCCTGGGCAGAAAGAAGGTGCCAGCATCCCCCTTCCATCTGAGGTTCTTTGAAAACCTCCTGAAATGTGTGAATCAGCCTCGGTTCATGGATCACCCCTGGTAATGCTTCTGGGTTGCTACCCTGGGCCCGGAACCCACCTGGGATTTGGGCGCTTCCCAGAGCACCCACAAAGGATGTAGAAAACCAAAGACAGCAGAGGCCTGGAAGACTGTGCACATTTCTTTCTCATACCACCTACAGAAATATGGCCTGGAGGATTGATTCAGGCTGCTCCCTAACAACAATCCTGATCAAGATTAACTGATCAGAAATTCCTAAGTTTAGGAGCTGTGCGGAAAGGCTCCACAGGACAATCAGCCACCCTCTTGAATAATGTTGTGGACTCTGAAAGTGTCTGGCCCTGGCAAAGCTATTGTAGCAGCTTTTGACAGACAGCCTCAGTTGTGCACCCTCACATTCAGTACATTCCGAATCTGCTTTTTATTCTCCAGGATCCCCATACCAATGGGATGCCACCAGCCTAAGCTCAACCCCTGTGCCTAGGGCAGCAGATCAACCAGGGCAGAACTGCTACAGCAAAGACTCCAAGAATGCCATTATCGTCCATCTTCCTACTCATCCTTCAAAACACCCACAATAGCCTGTGACAGGCTGTAAAAGAGCCCACCCACCCAAAGTTCAATGGGTGCATGCATAAGCTTGCTGTTCCCTTTTGTAGTGATCCTGACTCAAAGATCACTGTACATTAAAGAAACAGTAATCCACAGAACAATTAACCTGAACAGACACACGCCTGTATTGTGCTGTGCATATTCTTTGGCCACAGGATAAGCTCAACCAGAAAACTGTAACAGAAGAGCCTGCAGGCAGCTCCCACTTGGTGTCAACAACCATACCACCTGCATGTCCTCGCCTTTCTCTAAGAGAGCAGCAAGTTCTCATGTGAATGTCCCTTTTGTGGGTTAGGGGATAGCCCTTTCTACAGACAGGGTCAGTGCAGCATGCTTGGAAGCTTGTTCGATGCCACACAACTTAAGAGTTCCCAACATACATGGGGAAGTAAACTTACTTATACTATTCTGTCATTTAAAGCATTAGTTCTAGCAAGTAGCATTTAAAATGATACTTTTTACAGCCTTGGTGCTCTTCCTCCTGGGATCTAAATGGAGTAGCTCCTCCTAGTGCAAACAGCTCTCTACTCCTCTGTTGTGTGATTATGCTGTCCTGAGTTCAGCAGTAGCAGTCGTTTTTCTCCTTCTTGGTGGCTGGTGCAGTGCAGTGTTTTGACTTTCAGCTCGGGAATAGAGCTGATAACAATGATGTTTTGGTTTGGGCAAGGACTTTGTGAGCCTCATGCTCTGCTGGGGTGGAGGGGAAGCCGGGAGGAAGCAGAGACAGGACACCTGACCCAAACTAGCCAAAGAGGTATTTCACATCACAGCACGTCATGCCCAGGATGTAACTCGGAGTTAGCCGGAAGGGCTGGGAGACTGCAGGGTTGGAGGAGGTATCGGTCGGTGCTTGGTCCGGCTTGGGGAAGGAAGGGGGATGGGGTGAGTTATCGGTGGTGAGGTGTTGTATTCTCTTCCCTTGTTATTTCCTTTATCATTATTATTATTGGTGGTAGCATATTTCCTTTATCATTATTATTATTGGTGGTAGCAGTAGTGATTTGTGTTATACCTTAGTAACTAAACTGTTCTTATCTCAACCCATGGGAGTTGCATTCTTTTTGACTCTCCTCTCTGTCCCTCCAGGAGTAGGGGGAGGGAAAGAAAGGGGGGAGTGAGTGAACGAGTTGTCTGACTCTGCTCTCCTCATCAAGGTCTGTCCTCAGAAAGCTCTACCTCACTTGAAACATCTGAACTTTGGGTTAAACTCCCAAAAGTACTAAAGTGGAAATGTCATGTCCTCAGCACTACCTGTTTCAAACTACTCCTGTTGCACTTACTTGCTGAAGTAGACACTTTCTGCATCACAGGTTTGTACCAATAGACACAATCAGTTCTAAACCTTTGAGCAATATAAAGCAGCAAGATAAAAATAATGCTTTAAAAGCAAATAACTGCAACTACTGAATAATTTGTTTCATTTCAATTGCTAATTGCCATTTTACTTCCCACACATTTCTACATGGTATAGTGGAAACATTCCTGCAATCCTTTGTGCATCTTCAGTACAGCCACTGAAAATATTACCTGAAGTTTTGATAAAGGTGTATGGTTTCCACCAAACTCTTTTAACTAATGAATTGAAAATTCCTTTGCAATATCCCAAGTAGGTGCTCAAAAGGGGGAAAGCAGTTGAAATTTCATATCCCTGGGGATCAGCACAAGAAATGTGTTGCAAAAGTACTGTTGATCAAAACTACCTATTTATAATGTAAGTATTGGTGAGTAGTGATATAATAAAATGGCATGTTCTCCTACCAAGTATCAGCCAGACACTGGAAAAATAGTTAAATTAAAAGTCTGCAACACAGATGCTTCTGGAAGAAATAAGCACTCTTTGCAACACTAGATGAGTATGTAGCCATTGCATGGAAGAGGTAAATGTTCTGCTCACACACTGCATCCTGCAGAATTACAGGCAGAAGCCAGATCCAGTCTCTTGCTCACGTTGGACAGTTATGCCCAATCTGAAGAGAATCTGTCTCCAGAAATAAACTTGCTATGTATTGCCTGGAAGCAGGCCTTTTACTGGCTGAGAGTGAAGGGCAGGTTACTTCTACATGGTAATAATTAGTTATGGACTGAACGCATTTGGACATGAAGTAAGACGCACCACATGCAAAAGCAATTATAAAACATAAGTAAAAAAAGATAGAGGAACAACAGTGTTCTATAGGCTATTTGCATATGCATCTTATTTTCCTTACAACTGTAGCAATATGTAACTACTTTGCTTTTTTTCTTTTTTTTACTGTAAAATACATATTCCCTAAGACACAGAGAAGTTCATGAAAGGCACAAGCCACAAAGGCAAGCATCAGAAAATGTGTTTTCCTACAGTGTATTCAAAGCATATTATCAACCCTAACAGGCTACTAGGAGCATGATGGCATTCTTATCACACATGTAAAGTGCAAGTGCCAAACAAGAAATGGAGTGTATTTCCCAGTGTGCCTGTAATGACTAAAGGACAGCAGAACTATTTGCTCCTCTTAACTAAGAGTTTTTTGGTTGAAAAAAGTTTAAGAAAAGCTCTCAAAAGCCTAATGACTGTGTGACCCTGGACCATTAGCAACAGCTAATGCTTACTTGGACAAGTGTTTTAAACTTGTGAGTTGAAATCTTACTCTCCAAGACTTGTTCTGTTGGAATCACTGGTTTGCTGAGTTGTGTGAAGGAAAAGAATTTCCTAAAGCAGAAGTAATAGGAGCTTGAGCCACCTTTATACCATCACACAAAATGAGTTAGTTAGGAGTACTCTAAACGTACCTTGTAAACTGAAGTGCCTCCAATGATCCAGACCATGTCTACTTTACTTTTTAACTCTGGTGAATCCAAAAGAGCTAAAGCATCATCCAGATTTTTTGAAAGATAATGTGCTCCTTTAGGGGTTTCCCTAGAAAAAGCAAAATAATTGAAGGACCATTCATTGTGATAATCTAGATGTACAATGTGTTTTCATGAATTCCCAAATAACTAAATGTTTCAGACAAGATAATTGTTTTGAAATGCCTACTGTTGCTAAACTATGTTAGAAAACTCACCTGGCTGCAGGATTGCTTAATAAATCACAATCTAATAATAACTGTGACTTAAAAGGCATTATAAATTACAGATCTGAAATTTTATATCACGTTTTAAAAAAAAGCATAATGGAGACATTTAGATACCTATAAAACTAGGTTTTTATTTGAATTCTAGAATATTAATACTTTGTTCAAAACAAGTAGTTAAAAAAGCCACTATCCCCCTCCCCTATTCACCCCCAAATCCTCCAAAGCATAAACCATTATAAGTGAACATTGATGTTTAAGAATATCTGGATGAATGCAGGTGGTGCATTCAAGGAGAGAGCTCTGAAAAAGGACAATTATTTTTCCTTGAATGCATCAAAAATAAACTTTGAAAAAGCGATTAAGAGCCACTCATTTAACCAGGCTCTAGAGCAACAGTTAAATACATGGGTCAGAAAGACTGCTGATATAGTCAGATGGTTTGTTTGTAGAGCTAGGACTTGTATTTACTAAAAGCAATGACAGCTATCTTGTGAATTAATTAAAAAAAAATAAAGTAGTGATATCACTCAATCAATAACAGAGACGCTTCCTAAGCGGATATGAAAAATGTTACATTTAGAATTGTATTATGATGCATTGCTACACATATTTGTAAGTGCAGACTTTTTATTTGTTTGACAGGCCTGTCATTCATCATACGTACTTGAGCTCCCTGCTGAGCACTATATTAATTCTGTCTTTCAGAGGACGATTCTTCTCAGGAATGGAGAACCAGGTTTTTTTACCCATTATCAAGGCATTCTGTTTACCTGAATAAGAGAGAAAACACTTACTTAATGGGTATTTTTGCTCTGTCCCAAATTTCTTTTGGTTATTTATTGACACAGCTGGACCTTCTCTCCCGCTTCCAAACTCCATTTCAGCAGTCAACAGAAGTACAAGCTTAGACCTCGATTCTCAAATTAGTCACATGAACAGAAGGACATGTTTGCGTCCTCAAAGCCTTGTCAGGCAGTTGACACCTGTCAACTGTCAAAGTAGTCTATGTACACCTATAAACTTGTAATTAAAAGAAAATGAAAAAAAGGCATGTCACTGCCCATCACAGGCATTACACGAACACTACCTCTGCTACAAGTATGGGCATAAATTAATCTCTGTGTGCAAGACCAACTCATACCCTCAAAAGAGTTCTCTTGGTGTGAAAAAACATCACTGTTCTCTTTATAAATCCAAGCAGCACACAATAATCAACTTTGTGTTTGCATGTTCCATCATTCCAGCTATATGCTAAGGAATAATTGCCACCTTTGGGTGTTATTTAAGAGGGGAAAAAAAAACCCAAACAACAAAACACCAAGTTAAAGGGTAACTTTTAGGAGAAGAACCAGTTAAACTGGATGAAAAGGAAAAGTGCAGTAGGTGTCCTATTATATTCTAGTATTCACCGGTAAGCATGATTTCTGATCAAATGCAAACCTTCATTAATTAATTCTCTCTTATATATACCCTGCTAAAAAGAGGGTTTCTCTTTATAAGCAAATGGAGTTGTCAGAGAAATAAACACACAAAAGGTAACAGAAAATGTTCTACAGTGTTACATAGCAGGAGAGATTTTAGAGAAAGGACAACAGCTTGTTCACAGCTATCCTCCCTACTTCTTGATGAAAGAGGGGCTGGATCTTCTAGACCACACCACAGAACCAACCTTCCAGTTGTTCCTGAGCAGTGTCTGAAGACCTTTCTCCTGCACCTAAGTTTCATGAGCAAGTTTCCAAGAGCTATGCTGCGGTGTCAGTTTAGATATGTCAGCACAGACCACTGGCACTACTGCTGAAGGAAAGGCATAAATTGTGAACAATGCATGTATTTCCTCACTAAAGATTCATTCAGATGTTTAAGGGCTCAGAACAAAGATCTGTCTAACCCAACAGCTAATTCACAGCAGTGGCCAGTGCACGTATGCACACAGACTAAAAGCAAGATCATGTGATGCTTCTGCACTGTGTTCTCCCCATTTTCAAAAAACTCTCTTTCTTGAACTGATAGTAACATCCCTGTTGTGAAGATCTACGGCAGCATAACCCATTAAGAGGTTATGAATCAACTTCACTGTCTAGATCTTGGGTCATAGCTTATTAAAAGATGGGCAGGCAGGATGGAATAATTTTTTTTCTTTTTAACTGTATGTGAAACATTTTTTTTTTTCCTATGGGTTACTTGTACAGTGCAGGCATACAAGAAGACTTAAAGACTTGTGTTCTGTCTTTTTGTATGCAAGATTAAAATGGGTATAATCAACTCTCTAAACAGTAAGTAAAATATTTCACTTAAGGCTGTTTGCAAAATGAAATTAGATATTCTTTTATTCTTTGTGGCATATGGAAGAGACCTGCGAATCAGAATATGGAATAGGTCACTTAATCAAAACAAGAGTACATGTTAGAGAATTTTTAGCAAACAAGTGAGTTTTGCCAGGCAGTGGTTTTAACAGCAGCATGAAGAAAAGCACCACAGGAAACAGAGTGACCACGCTGGCAAATACAGCCATAGCAGAAATGTGAGGATAAGCTTGATGTCTCACATGACCCTGATTCCACCAGAAGCAGTGAGCCCGCCACATGGCTTAGGGAGGTCCTATTCTTCCTCTCCCAATGCTTCTTTCCTTCTCCTACCACATGCCTTGTACTGGCAGTCCCCACTGACCCACAGCAGCCTAGTCTACTGCATTAGAGAATTAAAACACCTTAAGAAAAAGTCAAACCAGCACCAAAGTCAGGGTGAAAGAGGAGTGGAGGCAATGCTACAAGACTCATCACTTCTGGCAGCAGTTAGTAACCAAGTCAGAACAAATCAGTTTTTTTAACCTTGATTCTTACCCCATTTGTGCTTTCACTTTTTTTTTCACAATAACTGGTTTCACCTCACCAACTTAATAGTCTAAAATATTGCTAAAATGCAAAGGCTCTGGTCTACTTGTCCTGACCATTATTGCTGTGCATTACCAGTACAGTTATTACTGTGCGCAGATGATGACATAGGTCTGGAGTGTTGCTGCTGTATGTACCAGTACAGTTAGGGTTTTCTGGCTATTGGATGGCTCAGCACTCAGAAAATCAAACTAAATTACTCTCAAAGGACCAGAGGGGTGGAACAAATGGCCAAGGCTGAGCTACAACAAACAAGTTAGACTAGCTAATAGAGCCTGAAAAAAACAACCAACCCTCTGCTGATTAACTGGCAAATAAAAACCTTTCCTTTTTAACATGTCAGAGTTTTCTACCCTGTTGGAGAAACACAACTTTGAAGTTCTCTTTATTTACACATCACCTGCAGCACTGAAACATCAGGTTCAGCTCCATTTTCTTCACCTAACCCAAAGTATCTGTAGAGGACACATTTACAGGGAGTAAAATACCTGTGAAACTTGGGAAAGCAGGCTGTTTGCAGAAGCAGGACTTTTTAAGTCAGGGAAAAATCAAATTACCAAGCTTTTCTGTGACTGATACCACAGAAAATAACTTTAATAGATAGGAGCAAAACTCCGGAAAAAGAAAACCATTACCTTCCACTTGGCATGTGCTAGTCATTCTCTGGAAGTACTTGTACTCATTCCTGGCAAGAAAACAAAAAAAGCATTACAACATGGCTTATGAATAAGATGCATTTCTCTAATACAAGGAAAACACCAACAAAATGAAACAAAAACATAACACAAATACCGCTGGTGCCCGCGGAGGAAAGGCTGGACAGAGCCGGCTCCATGTCATGCCTGAAGCGAGACCTTTGGTCCCAGCTCTGCTTGCATAGAATGCAACTAGGTTGAAAATGACCTTTAAAACCATCAAGTCCAAATGTTCCCCAGACTGCCAAGGCCACCACTAAACCATGTCATCTACAGTCTGCGAACACTTCCAGGGATGGTGACTCCACCACTGCCCTGGCCAGCCTGTTCCAGTACCTGTTTACTCTCTTGGGGAAGAAATTGTTCCTAATACCCTGTATAAACCTTCCCTGGCACAACTTGAGGCCGTTTCCTCTTGTCCTATTGTTTGTTCCTTGGGAGCAGAGACCAGCCACCTCCTGGCTCCGTCCTCCTTTCAGCTAGTTTTAGACAGCATTAAGGTTCCCCCTGAGCCTTCTCTTCTCCAGACTGAACACCCCCAGTTATCTCAGCCGTTCCTCATCACACTTGTGCTCCAGGCCCTTACCAGCTCTGCTGCCATTCTCTGGACCCGCTCCACCACCTCAATGTCTCTCTTGTAGTGAGGGGCCCAGAACTGAACACAGACTTTGTGGTGCGGCTTCACCAGTGCCCAGTACAGGGAGATGGTCACTGCCCTGATCCTGCTGGCCACACTACTGCTGATACAAGGCCACGACGCACGACAGATAACCCACGGCCGAGAGCCTGCCGACGCGCCTCCTTGAATCCCCGGGGATACCCGCCAAGACAGCCGGCGGGTCCTGGCAGCCATATCCCCGGCTGTAGTCCCGCCAACAGGCGCCGCGAATCCTCTCCCGCCCTGCTGAGCATCACCCCAATCAAGCCTACAACTCCTAGGGCGCAACGCGCGGCTCCACGGTCGCCCGCCAGCAGAGAGCGCGCCGCGGTGCAGGCTGGGAGTTGTAGTCCGCCCGCGCGCCCGCCGCCCCTGGAGGGTAGACTCCCGCCATACCCGCGGTACCTCAGCGGCGGCCAGGGCAGGTTGCCGTCCTTCCCGATGCCCATGTTCTGGCACACGGCCACGATGGAGTTCAGGGAGCGCACCATGACTCCCACCGTCGCCTCTCTCCTCACCGGACTTCGCAGCGCTCGAGCGAGAGCACAGCAGCGAGGCGGGCTGGCGTGAGAGGGACAGCACGGCCTGCTGAGGCGGGAGGTTGTGTAGACGCCGCAGCGCACCGCGGGCAGAGGCTGTTCACACACCGCCCCGCCCCGCGCCCGCTGTCGCATCCGGCGGGGAAGGTGGTGCCGGTGCCCGCGGCCTCGGCTCTGCGTCCGCCATCGGCATGCCGCGGGGAGTACGGCGACGGCGGGAATGCGGCGGCGGGAAGCAGCTGGTGCTGAGCAAGTTCTTCGGAGCGGCGGGGAGCGGCGGAGAGCAGAGTGCCGCCCTGCAGACGGTGCGCCCGGGGTGGCGGTTGGGGCTGAGGGCTCCTGTAGGGCACGGGCCGGCCCGCTGATGCCATGCGGGATTCCTCTGTGTGGTGGAGGAGGTCTCTCGGGCCTGTCCGGGTACCTCGTGTCAGCAGGTCGTGACAGGAAGGATGGAAGGGTGCCCTGCGGCGGCCCCTTCATCAGGCAGGGTCTCTAGTTTAACCAGTGCTTGCTGTAGCATCCTTGCCTTGTGTAACACAGGGTAGCCATACGTAGTCTTTCCGGAAACTGCCGTTATATGCCCATTTTGTAGGACCTCAGACTTGACACGAGTACGGTGACCTTGGCAAAGCCAGTGTTTAGATAATGCTGCAGCAGTGTTGGGACACCCAGCACAGCTTCTGCCCCTGGGCCCTTGCTGCAGTCATGGAGCTCAGTCTGCTGTTTCCTGCAAGGCCAAGAGAGCTGCAGTGGTCCAGCAGCCTCTTCATGTCGCTGCTGGGGAAAAAATTCTTTCTCTCAGCAACTGGGTTTCATCATGAGTTTATATTTTCCAGTCCCCCTGTAGATAATGTCTGTAGCCCTTTCTGGCCCTGGAAAGCTGTCTGCTTTTTTCACCTGTGTCTCCAGTCAACCCTTTTTGTTATATTTGGCCTGATATGTTTTGGAAGGTGTGATTACTAGCCTTTGCTCATGCAGAAAAAAAATGCTTTCTAATTAGCCTGGTGGTATGTAATAGTGGACTTGGAAGGGGAACGCCCTGCTACTCATGTGGATTGTGCATGTGGATGTGTTATGTAGAGGTTATGGGCTTAGTTGCTGAGCGTGGAGATCCTGTGTAGTTATGAGGAGATAGAATTTCCCACTAATATACTCAAAACCATCTGAGATTACTCTATGAAACATGAATGTTAGCTGCTGAAAGTACCTGTTGTGTGTTTATGTTTGCAGTTGCAAGTTACTTCTTTAGTCACACTTACTGCATACTGTCGCTAAGTATGACTAAAGAAGTCATCAATTATGAAGCTAAATGATGAATGATGAATCAGAGACAAAACAAAATGCATTTTTACATTTTCTGTTTGTGAAGTGTTAAAAGTGCATGTGTCAAAAGCCTTCTAAAGGAGCAGTGGTTGAAACTACTGTTTTCTGTACATGGGGGATGATACTAGATAAGTGTTTACAGATAGCTTAGGTAAGTCTTTTAAGTGTGGGTTAACATTTACAGGATGGTGTGGAGAAGATACTTTTCCATCATTGGGATGTAGCCCGTAGGAAGTCATAGGTGCCTCTTAGAGGCCAGTATCTGACAAGAAGAGGACTCTGAACTGAGGGAATGAGGATCTGCAGAAGAGATCTGATTCAGACACATATATTCGGTGTCTGATATTGTGGGAATATCTGTTAAGTGCTGGTTCAGTTTTCTGCCACAGAGGTAGTTCTAAGCTGCCTTTTGAAGCTATAGAAGCTACAAGTATTTCTTTCTGGCACAACATCCAAATTGTTCACAGAATGTGACACGTGGATTGACCCCACAGCTCGTTAGAGTTGTAAAGTAGGTATGCTTTATTCAGCTGAGGCACAGGGGGGGTGCTCCTCCAAAAGCATGTGCGCCCTCTTTGCCACTCAGTTCGTTCATATTACATATAATGATTACCTAAACATGAGATTGCTTCACGCCTAATACATATGCAAAACCTATTCCGGTCTAGTTTTCTGGCATTCGTCCCATTGGTGCGCCTGCGCAGTGCCTCCTGGTGGTGGTCGTTAGGGGGTCGTGAGGATGAAGGCTTGTAGTTCCTCTTCATCACTGCAAGTAACCTCTTGCATTCACGCAGACTCAATAGGGTTTCGGGTCCTATCCAGATGTCAGGTTCGGTACAAGCCGGTTTTATGTATCTTAAAGCAGAAACTTGTCAAGTTTGCAAATTTTGTTACTCTGGCTATCTTTTGTTCGTTTGCTTTCTAAAGATACTATCTGAACAAGAATGTCTTAAATATTAAGCTGTGAATCTTATCTACTGCAGTTCTGCCTAGCAGCTGTAACTCCTACAATTCTATTTCACCATTCTAGCAACTTTGACTCCTACGGTTCTATTTCACCAAGCACAGTGACTGCTTAAGCAAGCAGGCACAATGTTAACCCTTTATTTGCTGGTATCAAATGCACTATTTAGCTTCCTCTGGTGGCCTTGAATGTTAGAAGAACTATTTTATAAATAAAAAAGTCAATAGGTAAAAATAAGGATTTCATGTGTTGTAAATTCATTTCATACTATCTGTTTATGAAATAATTGGGTGCATTATTGTCGTTCATGGAAGATGGCAAAGAGAAAAAGTAACTAAATTTCTCTGTATAATTTATGTTTTAGGCTTCTGAATTTGGCACAAGGAGAAACTCAAATGAAAGCAATGAACCCTGTGAAAAGAAGACCAAGATACGACAAATTGCTCTAGAAGACATCTGTAATCCACTGAAGACTCAGGATAAAAGTGAGTTTGCTGTAAACAAACGTTCAAGCATTTATATCCGATAAATACTCTTTCAATGTCAAATGTAAATGATGCTTGTAGAAAACCAGAAAAAACAAGTTAGTGAACATAAAGTTCATTACACTTACACTTCACTGAAAAGCATTAACCTCACTGTTCTTTTTAAAGAGGGAATTATATTCAGTTTTGTGGGTGTGATGGTGATTGGAAGCGTCATTAAGACACCATCAACTAGCAATATGGTCTGCTTAAAAACTGTAATGAAAAAATACCACCAGAGTTTTCTGATATTCTTGGCTAATTTTGTGGCTTTGCACTTATCAGTACAGAAATAATCTGTACAGAAAATAATTTTGTTTCTTTCCCATGTCTGAAGAAGAATACAGGTGAAGATTATTGATTTTCCAGGGAAGTTAATCAAGATGGTTGCATGCACAATTCTGTGGGGCTGGCGGAAATACTGCATTGAGAGAGGGGAAGGATTGTAGGGAAGCGAGTGATAGAGCAAGATGATTGTTTTCTCTGCTTACTTATGTCATTCTAATAGATATTCTGTTTTAGAAAATAAGTTGCTAATACGTTTTTGTTCCTTTTTTTTTTTTAACTGAAAAAGAACCTCAGAAGTGTGAAAAGGCCCATATATGTTTGCAAACTCTATGCAGACTGAGAGAATTCTGCAGTGATTCGGACCAGCAAAGTAACAGATTCCAGGAGGATAGTTTTCAGAAGAAAGAATCTCTGAGTTTGGAAAAATGTCCCACTATTACTGGAAAAAGTTCAGAACTGAAAAAGCCTCTTCAGTCTTGGGACAGTAGCAAAAAGGTTGCTCAGAAGGTACGTAGAGCTCTGGTCCAGTCCTACGCAGATTACTTTTTGTGGTTTAAAAAGGCAAGCTTTGGCAGGAGATTCCCTTTGTGTTTTGGTGTTCTGTCATGAAATAGTGCAGCAGTACCTAATAGGCCAGTGTTTCTGTATGGATATTTTCCTGGAACTCCTAGCATAGTGAGCTGGATGCCTCTTACAGCTGTTCAGTGATGCCACTGAAAAAAACAGCAAGGAGAGAGCAGAACCACTGGCAGTGTATCTTATAAGTGTGTGAACCCGTAATATTGTAATAACAAATGTTCAGTGTGCCCTATAGCTCAGCTTTCTTTTAGCTCTGTCAGTTTGGATACAAACCTGTAAAATTCCAAGCAGACTTTCTTTGCAAAAATACGATGTAGAATTCTGCTGAGATGTAGCTTAATACAGTTGCTGATAAATCTAACTACTAAAGATATCACTGTTTTTTTTTCATCTGCAGAAAATATGGGTGGCTCCCATGAAAAATCATCATTTTAGAAGTCCATAAGAGTATAATAGTACTTGCTTCTCCTAATTATGGGGCTAATTAACATAATTAATTGGTTGGGTTTGGGGTCAGCTTGCTAAGTTTGAAGTACTGAAGTACTTCACTTTGAAGTACATGAAGGTCCTGGAAATCATCTCATAGCTGCCTGTGGTGGTGTTGCCTTGTGACTCAACTGCTCTTTAACAAAGTTTTGTATGTGTTTTTGGAGGAAGGCGGTTGTATGAAAGGTGGTATAATTGATTTGACATTCCCTGTCTGAAGGTCATGATGTTAAGCTGAGTGTCTGGGTTGTGTGAATGTGAGATCAAAACGTAAATCTCTTTCTTGTGGCAAGAGATTTCTGTTGTGACAAGGAATTGAGATTGTAGGTATGGTCAGTTGGAGAACACAGGAAACTGATCACTTCTCTGTCCCTCTTCTTAAAACCCTTGTCTGTCTGGTGCTTGCTAACTTCTGACCCTTTCTCCATGCAGTTACACCAGATGCTGCCCCTGCTAGTTTAATCTATAAGTCATACTTTAGCATGTCTCACAGATGTTTGAGAAAGTTCTAGATGCTGAAGCTATAAAATCTATGTGTTTTATATGTGCGTGTTTTTGAAACATGCATGGAGTGTATTTAGTGACTTTCTTCTGTAAACTGGAGACAGCATATGCCTGGCATAAGTTGTTAAAAATGTGTGTGTTGCAGTGGAAGTGCAAGTTTGGTGAGCAAAGGCATGTTCAACATTCCTTCCACTGAGCTGTGGGCCTGCGATTGTTGTTTCTGCAGGTTTGTCTTTATCTTTGAACGGATTTGATTGTTAATCTGTGTATCAGCTGTGCAGTATTTC